AGGTCCACAGTCTCTCATGGGTCCCTGTACGGCCTCCCATTGCTGCTGTCTCCATCGCCACACTCTGCCATGTGCCACTTTCAGGTCTCCTCACACACTGCTGGTGGGTTCCACTTTTTGTCATAGGGTGCTGGCAGATTACGGGCCTCACATTGCTGCTGCCAGGCCCGTAATCTCCATGGGCCCCCGTACCGACTCCTCATGCTGCTGCTCCAGGCCCGTAATCTGTCATGGGCCCTGTTGTCGCTTGTTGGCATATTCCGCTCGTTCAGATGCTCCTTCTCCTGCTACTCCTCTTCACGGATTCCGTCAGCAGTCTTTCTTGGATTCCGTTTCCAAGAGACAACAGTTTGCGAGCACGCACCCGACGGTGCAAAAGCTGAACGTCCTCCTGTCCAAGTTGCTGCTGCCAGGCTCGTAATCTGTCATGCGCCCCTGTACCACCTCCTCATGCTGCTGCCAGGTCCAGAGTGTGTCATGGGCCCCCGTACCGACTCCTCATGCTGCTGCCAGGCCCGTAATCTGTCATGGGCCCCTGTACCGCCTCCTCATGCTGCTGCCAGGTCCAGAGTGTGTCATGGGTCCCTGTACGGCCTCCCATTGCTGCTGCCAGGCCCGTAATCTGCCATGGGCCCCCGTACCGACTCCTGATGCTGCTGCCAGGCCCGTAATCTGTCATGGGCCCCTGTACCGCCTCCTCATGCTGCTGCCAGGTCCAGAGTGTGTCATGGGTCCCTGTACGGCCTCCCATTGCTGCTGTCTCCATCGCCACACTCTGCCATGTGCCACTTTCAGGTCTCCTCACACTGCTGGTGGTTTCCATTTTTGTCATAGGGTGCTGTATGGCCTCCATTGCTGCTGCCTCCACCGCCACACTGTGGCTCCACACTCTGGTTTTGGCCCCGTGACTGCCCAAATGAGTGAAGTGTGCGGTGATTCTAAGATCGACGGCACTCATCTGCATGTCATACTGACTGTCAGTATTATTTCTCTTCCCCAGCAGACTCCAAGGGCATTTAAATTAAAGGTACAGTGTTCTGCACTAATATAAAGGCTCTCTGAAGCCTAGAAACACCCTTTTATAAGTTAAATTCGCGGCGAATATATTCGACTCGAATCAAAATTTTTTCACGAATTCGCCGAATCAGTCGAATCGAATTTTTGAATAATTCGCTCATCTCTAATTATAATATCGTGCAAAAGTTAATTTATTTCAGTAAAGCAACGTAAAAGGTGAAACTAATATATGAAAAAGACTCATTGCATGGAAAGCAAGATAGTTCAAGCCGTGATTTGTCATAATTGTGATGATTATGGCTTACAGCTCATGAAAAACCCCAAATTTCCTGAGCCTTTAAATGGTTTCTGTCTGGTTCAGTAGGAATCACAATCATGGGAAAGACTGCTGACCCGACAGTTGTGCAGAAACCCATCATTGACACCCTCCACAAGGAGGGAAAGCCTCAAAAGGTAATTGCAAAAGAAGTTGGATGTTCCCAAAGTGCTGTATCAAAGCACATTAATAGAAAGTTATGCGGAAAGGAAAAGTGTGGAAGAAAAAAGGTGCACAAGCAGCAGGGATGACCGCATCCTGGAGAGGATTGTCAGGAAAAGACCATTCAAAAGTGTTGGTGACTTTCACACGGAGTGGACTGAGGCTGGAGTCAGTGCATTAAGAGCCACCACACACAGACGGATCCTGGACATGGGCTTCAAATGTCGTATTCCTCTTGTCAAGTCGCTCCTGAACAACAAACAACGTCAGAAGCGACTTACCTGTGCTAAAGAAAAACAGACCTGGTCTGTTGCTCAGTGGTCCAAAGTCCTCTTTTCTGATGAGAGCAACTTTTGCATCTCATTTGGAAACCAAGGATCCAGAGTATGGAGGAAGAATGGAGAGGCACACACTGCAAGATGCTTGAAGTCCAGTGTGAAGTTTCCACACTCTGTGTTGATTTGGGGAGCCGTGTCATCTGCTGGTGTTGGTCCACTGTGCTTCATTATGTCCAGGGTCAACGCAGCCGTCTACCAGGAGATTTTGGAGCACTTCATGCTTCCTTCCGCAGACGAGCTTTATGGGGATGCTGACTTTATTTTCCAGCAGGACTTGGCACCTGCCCACACTGCCAAAAGCACCAAAACCTGGTTCAATGAACGTGGGATTACTGTGCTTGATTGGGCAGCAAACTCGCCTGACCTGAACCCCATAGACAATCTATGGGGCATTGCCAAGAGAAAGATGACAGACATGAGGCCGAACAATGCAAAAGAGCTGAAGGCCGCTATTGAAGAATCCTGGTCTTCCATAACACCTCAGCAGTGCCACAGGCTGATAGCTTTCATGCCACGCCGCATTGAGGCAGTAATTGCTGCAAAAGGGGCCTGAAACCAAGTACTGAATACATATGCATGCTTATACTTTTCAGAGGTCCGATATTGTTCTATGTACAATCCTTGTTTTATTGATTGCATGTAATATTCTAATTTTCTGAGATTTTGGATTTGGGGTTTTCATGAGCTGTAAGCCATAATCATCACAATTATGACAAATCACGGCTTGAACTATCTTGCTTTGCATGTAATAAGTCTATCTCATATATTAGTTTTACCTTTTAGGTTGCATTACTGAAATAAATGAGTTTTTGCATGATATTCTAATTTTTCGAGTTCCACCTGTAGGTACAGAAGGTGTATGTACCTAAAAGTCTGTGGTCAATAATGTAAACCAAGTCCCATACATTCCAGGACGGTGGAACCACACTCTGATGGCAGCTCCTCAGAGACTAAAGGGATCTCTGCAGCAAAGACAAAAACAAAAAAAAATAGCAGAAGGCACTGATCTGCATGCAGTATAAACAGTATACAATTTATTAAAACCGTATAAATGGCAACTGATATGTTAAAAGAAATCATACGCATGTCACTGTGATGATTGTCGGATGAACCGCTGCAATCTAGAGTGTTAAGGAAGCGTCCAGAGTTCCCACTTCCTGGTCAGGAACTAGGAAGTGGGAACTAGCCAGCAGCCTGGGGGGGGGGGGGGGGGGGATGCAGAGTCTTACTGACCAGAAGTGATGTGCCAGGAAACAGGGAGGAGATGTGGCTTATTTATTTCAGAGCCACCCACTTCCTTTCTCAAAGCCTTCTCAATGATAGTGGCATTTACTTTTCTGTTATACTGCAGTCTATTCCATCTTCAGAGTCTTCCCTAGCTCTATCAGGCATGGCCACCTCCCCTGCTTTATCCAGGGAAGATCTCACTGCTGTCATGCAGGAATTGTATGAGTCAGTTAGTTGTTTGCTGATTCTGATCGCAAAGGCCATTCGCTTTCCCTGCAGGTCCACTATTCACCATCTAATTTTCGAACGGACTTCAGTCCTTAATAGATGAATCTCTCCCTATGGAGTCGCTGTCTTCTGCCATCTTTCCTAAACTGAAATCTATTGTTTTGACTCTTATTGATATGGTAAGCGCCACTTTAAAACTTGAGGATCAGTCTAGTAACTACCAAACCAGTGCTCTCCCCAGTCTGAAATTATTTAGAGCACCTAAGACTAGCAAAGCCTTTCCAGTGTACATTACCTGTTGTGTACCCCAAATGCCTATGGCCCTGTACCATTTTGAGGATAAATGTATTAAAAAGTGGTCTGCCCCTCTATGGATATGGCACTATCCTTTAACAAAACCTCTTCCATCACATTGGAGGATGATCCTGCCTTTAATCAACTCTCTCACCTATACACTCCTTATGGACCAGAGCAATATTTACATCTTCTTCTTTGGGTTTATTGATTCAGCAATAACTTTGTCAATACTTTAGATAGAAAAGTAACACATTTTAGTACAAACAAAGCATTTTTCTATGATACAGTCTTGTAAAAATGAATTTATTTTTCATACAATCCATGGAACTGGTTCTGGTTCAAGAACTAGTTCTGGCCAGCTCAGTAGCTTGTTTTAAAAAAGATGCTGTATGCATTCCTAAATGCACAACACATAAGTGAATATTAACATTTATAGGCAATAGGGATTGTTGGTCCAGGGAATATCCAATTGCCTCTTGGGAGATCAGGATGGAAATTTCATCCCCCTCTCGAGCAAATTGTAGCATATGTTATAGACTTTTTTTTTTTTTTTTGCCTTCCTCTGGGTCAGCTGTAGGTGTAGGATTGTATTCTGTTTCTTTATTTTTTTTCTATTGGTTTCTATTTCAACCTTACTGTGGTTCTGTGGCATCAGTACACACCCTGATCTACAGCTTTCCTCCTATTTGCAAGGCTGCACCTGGTATACTGTTTACACATTCTACAACTCTTACTGGGAGATTTATTCAGGACTCATCTGATGCCACCTTTGAGCATAAGGATCTTTAGGTGGCTCAAGTCCCCATGTCCCCAGTCCTGTTGTTTTTTGTAGGCCTGATAGCATTGTGTTTGTGGTTTCGAAACCCTTAGTTGGATTGTTTTTTAACGTCCTGCCAGTATATGACTTTCTGTGCCCCTCAGTGGATAAGAAAAAATTTGCATTATGAAGTGGTGCTGCGCTACTTATTATAAAGGGAATGAACAATCAGCATGATAAAACTCATAAATATTGTGTAAAGTGGACAACCCATATAGTCAATGCTAAACCAACAAGTGTAGAAACAACAAGTGTACCAAATAACAACAAAGATGAAATATGACCAAAAATATATATATATAAATAGCAAATGCGCTAAAATCATCAAGTGAAAAAGTGATCAGTAGATAAATAAACACATGAAAAATGTAATAAATTGTGACAAATAATCTCAAATGGCAAAAATGTGACACAGAAAATGAGTAGATAAATGAGAACAAAATAGTCTCAAAAGCACAACAGACAGTGCATCTTCAGCACAAGCCGTGAGACATCAGCAATCACAACAAACAGGCAATCTTTCACCAGCTAGCGTGTGCACTCACCTTCCAACTGCGACCCGCAAAGGGTCAAAGGGGTCTTGTGTCTTTTTCACTTATGTTTGTGTGAGACTGCACTGGGCTACGAGGATAAAGGGAATAAACTATATAGCACACAATCACAGATTTTAAGCTGGACAAAATATTTTTAGTGTGATAAGAGCAACATAAACTGGGTGTGGCTAAATTGAATAAGGGGAATGTCTTTCTGCAAATTCACAGATTAAAAAAAGGAAGAAAATATTAAAAATATTTTAATGCAAAATACATGTTTTACAGCCATTTAAGGGGCACCTATTAAACTTCCAGCTCATAAAAGTCATCAATATCAGATACTTTCTGTAAAACATTGCTTTATTAAAATTCCAACTTATTAAAATCTAAATTGATATTATTGAAAGACTCTAATAGATTTTAATAAGTCTTTGCTGTGATCTTTGAGAATGAATTACTTCACAATACAGCAGCTAGAGGTCAAGGATAGCTTATCTAAGAGCTTTTTTACTAATTGATAAAAATATGTAAATACTTTAATGTCCATAGACTTGGCACAGACTCACATTAACCACTTGCCATCCACCCTATAGCAGATTTACTGCTACAAGGAAGATGTTCTGTGCAAAATCATGTAAACAAGGCAGAACTGTGTTATGTCAATGGCGATCTGTTAGATTTTATTCAGGGAATAAAATATAGCCGATTGCCTAGTAAAACCGCACATAATAAACACATAAACAATGGTTAGGCACACAATTAACCCTTTGATCTCCCTAGATGTTTAACCCCTTCCCCGCCAGCGCCATTAACACAGTGACAGTGTATATTTTTAGCACTGATCACTGTATTAGTGTCACTGGTTCCCACAAAGTGTCAGACTGTCCGCCACAATATTTATTATAGGTACAATGGATATAAAAAGTTTACACACCCCTGTTAAATGTCAGGTTTCTGTGATGTAAAAAAATAAGGCAAAGATAAATCATTTCAGTCATGTTAGTGCGTACATGTTAATGTAAAGTAAAGGCAACCTTTTCATCAAGAATGAGTTGCCTAGATGTATGGCGTCTCCTGCATCACAACTGGTGAGACTACACATTCTACTCCGCTTTG